ATAGACTATAGTCACTTCACTCCATAGACTGCCTCGATCCAATTTTGGTGCATGTTCAATACGCTTGGATGCATCCAAGCTACAAAATAGCAGCATGCATGCATGTAGTAGTACGAAAAGCCTTAATGTTCAAAAAATAATTATGTTTCCGGATTGCCTTGACAAAACAGATGCCGAAATCACGTTTGTAAGTACACCATATCGGGTGTTCATCGCGGCATCTTAGTGCAGCATTAAGCAATTTACAGGCTTGACGTCACCGCATACTCTAGCTGGTATCTGCGCATTTTGGAAAACATCTTCCTTCTTCCCCCTGATTAGTTTGCATTTTTACAAGAGAATTTTTCAAATTGTACATGTATTGTAACCATATGTATTGTCTACAGGGTGAGTAAAAAAACCGATCCCTATTCATTTGGAAATTTGCCGAATAGCTGCTGTAATTTAACAGAAGTTGACTAAAGTGAATAATGAATTAATCAAAAACATAAATCTTGTCGGCGTCTTTGATTAAAAATGGGAGAGATAAGAAAACTGTAGTTAACTGCCTGTTGGGCACAAGGTAGTTGTCTAATTAGGTATGGTCAGTTATAGTTGCATATAGTCTTTTTTACTTACCCTGCAGTATGTATGTCAAGAATGTACATACAAAAAATAGTGCAAGAGTCAACATTTTCTTATCAATTTGACTCTGGGGCCTTCAATGTATCCTAGTTCCGAAACCTGCATGTTCGAGCAATGCATGCATGCCGGCACAATTTTTCTTTGGAATATTGCATGCTGAGTATCCGAAATCATACCTTTCATCGTCACTACTGAGAATACGTTGTAAAAAGAGAATAGTGTGTATTTGCACCCAACGAGCATATTTGCACCGAACGAACATAGCAACTTGGGCGTCAATTTATACAAAAACAGCATATAAAAAATGACGCAATCATACTGTGACGCCTTCTTATTTATTGCCTATATGCGTTTGGCACACGGTAAGCGCATATGTGATGCAGACCTTATACTATACTCATGCAACCGAATCTGCTTCCAACGACAACTGCAGGACTGCATCATCAAATCAGATTCTCAGGGGCATAGAGCATCATGTATGATCATCCCATATACAGGGTATGACTACAAATTATTATTAACATGTAAATTGCAGTGAAATTATATTTGACCAAATCAGACAATCCGTCGTGTTCAACATGACGCAGTTGACTACAGATTTAACTTCCAAAGCCGGAAACAAGAATTACGCTTTAATTCAAATAATCTTCCCTTTAGACATTAGCGCCAAAATTGCAGCAGCTATGCGCTGATTTGCATATCAACAGGTAGCAGTTTTTTTACTCACCCTATACACCAATGTCAATTTTGCCACGGATTTGTGAGGTCAATACACAATAGAAAGTGCGCACCCATGAAAAACGGATACTAAAATTGACCGTTGATAATCCTTTTTGATTATCTGATTATTATTGGAAATGTACCAAATAGCGTTACATTCATTGCTGCTGTTTGCGATAAAATTTAAAAAAGCTCCGCAAAGCAAGATTTTGACACTAATCCTTTTTAGTGGCCCGAACAATGCGAGTTAAAATACATTATCTATGGTACTATGCGTAATTTCATTACAGATTCTTTGCACTAAATCTGGATTGCCTATGACTATTATTTTTATAAAATTCATAGAATTAATGATGCTGAAACAACAATAAAGAACGTTTAATACTTCATGGGACGTTTAAAAGAGAACGAAAATGAAATTCGATACAACCATCAGTTGTTATAACCCAGCATATTTTTTGTGATTTTTGATACTCTAAATGAATCCAACAATTACTAATCCAACTGAAACAATTCAACTGCATTCATGTGACGTTATAAAGGTCCTTCTTTCAGAAGCATTCTTTGAAACTTAACCGTAATATCTGTTTGCAAAGAAATATTATTGTAGAAATTTCGTAATTTAAGCAGACATGCAGACATGGACTTTCTATCTATGACTATCCAGTTGTTATTTCTTCCGTTAAATTATGTTGCCAAATTGATTCAAGCCAAGAAAAATCCACTTCATGAGATTGCATTCTGTAAATGGCTTTTCCGGCAGGCCTTTTACATTAAAAAATATGCACGACGCAAACCTGCACCATGTATAACTACATGCAACAAATGGATTCATGCCAGATGTACACCTTAGTCGAGTATATGCAATGGTACGACTTTTACATAAATTGAAGGTCAATGGATTAGACTGTGCATGGACAGATGGACATGTAATGTAAACTTGTAATATAGTGTTTACGCCTACGCGAACTGAACGCCTATGTGCTTCACCATAGGTTTAAACCACATTATTACAATTATAAATATTTTTTAGCTTCTACTAATGCAGGCAATGTTTTTTTAGTTATAATTCAGTTAACACTTTCAAAAGGCTCTTGGTATACAAGGTCATGTTTTTTGGGAATGGCTCTTGGCATAACTTGCGTCCAAGATAGAGTACTTGTCTATTAACTATTGCATGATAAGCTCTAAATAACGGCCACTTCAAATTTGTCATCCAAGTTTGTTATCAGAGGTATTTTGTTATTCATTTTTTATCTGTCAAAAGCATTTAATCTACCTCCGTCATGATCGATATCACAAACCCTATTTTTATTGGCGTTTATATTATTTCTAAAATTAAAGCGACATAAATGTATTTGTGAAAATAGGGAGGGGTAACCATCAAACCCTTCACCAGGCATGAGAAAAAATGCCCTTTCAAGTATTTTTTGTTCGATTTGATGTTTCTTCAATAGGGATTACATTTGCCGGTAGGTGATTAACGTCAGAAAAAGGATTTAAACCCACGTTCGTATGTTCCCCTTGAGCCTGAAGAAAGTGATTTATTCGTTCATACACGTAGAATGTAGCTAGGCAGGCGATATGTCGGCATATTATGCTTTATCCTTAAAAAATATAAATAGCAATTATTTCATTAAGTCTAGCTCTTATACATCGTGCGCGAAAACCTCTCAACGAGATCAAAGTTCATGGAAATTCAATACGTGAAAAAGAGAAATTCACAAGTACAAAATAACTCGTTCACATGCCAAATTCTACTTTTATATACTATTTCATATTCATGAAATTCCTATTTCACATGCGAAAGTATACAGTAGTTGTGAAGGATACCAAACTTAAGGTGGATTTCCACTTGCTGAGAAATGGTTCGCCAGCGAAATATTTGCATATTTTCTTTGAATTTTAATAGCGCAATTAACATAGACTGTTCAACATAGACTGTTCCTAATTCAAAAGAAAATACGCAATATTTCGCTGGCGAACTATTTCTCCGCAAGTGGAAATCCAGCCTGATTTTTTCGCTACACTCACCAAATGAAAGAACTCTTTCTTGATTCATGAAAACCAAAAACCGCTATGTACAGGCAACTTTGTGAAAAAATATGCCAAATATTCTTCGATGCATTCAGTGTTGTTTACGACAAGTGGCTAGTAGTTTAGTATAAATGTATGTTAATCATATATTTAATTCTATTTTTTGTGTTCTTGATATAGAGTAGTTCCGATTGGACTTTTTTTCACTAATGCGTCACGGCTACGTATTGATTTGGATAATAATCTGCACCAACCTTATCAAAGTATAATGTGTACTAACACAGTGCACGCAACCAATTTTTAGCTATTTTCGCTGTAAGACATTGGATGAAGCTATTTTCGCTTTTTAGAACGTTGGATGAAGCCGAATTGAAACTGTGCTGGGAATTGCCGTTAGAGGCTATGTTTAAGCCAACACACTCACGTTAGTTTTTTCTTTTTATTCGCTTCACCGATACATCACCCTCTCACAATCACGACTACACAATTCTCCTTCTCGATTCTCATGCAACACCCTACATATTTGCCTTCTCTGATAACCTATGACGTATAAATTGATTGACACATATTTGGCTAACTAAATTATATCCCTAATTAATAATTTCCCCATAGTTCTCAACATCTGATTGGAAAATAATTGCTCATTAAGGAGGGAGCCGAGCACTAAAAAAATTACAAGCTTAGTCACAAAAGAACTAGGCCTAGGGAGAGGGTAAAATAAATATAATAAAAAATATAATTAAAGTTATAATAGGTGCTACATACATATAGCTGTATGATAAAAATGTTTCTATAGCTGTATGATATTTCCTTTTATTGAAATAGGGTTGCCCAGAAACAGAAATTAAAATCTTCGCTTTTAACTTAATTTGTTTTACTATAATTACAAAGGTGATTATGGAAAATTCCAGCGACGTCGGATTATTACGCGATAATTATTATACATTTAATGTATGCTCCCGAGGGAAATATAGTTTTGTTTTCCCATGCAAGAGTCGAATCGTTGAGACTCGAGAGAAAACAAAACTCACTATTTCCCGAGGTGTAGCGAACATTAAGTGTTTTGTTATATATAGAAACAAAAACATACATGTTACACGACAATTTCATTTCAAAAAACTTTGTTATGACAGTATGCGGGCAACAATTTTTCATTTGTTTCCCTGGAGGGAAATATTGCATTTATTTAAAGTCATGTGACTACGAATGAACCAATCACATTTAAAATACACAGAACCTATATAAATAACAATACGGATTATTACGCTTAATTAAGCGGATTTTTTAAAATGGCAGCGAGTTTTTGTTGTCGAAGTGAAGCAAAAAAGTTGTTAAAAAATTAGGCCTAAAATTATGTTCAAGGCGAAAAAACTACTTTGTAGAACGCTTTTCAACTTAATTTTGCTCGAGATGTTTGTTTACGTTTGTAAAACATGTATTCTTTAAAACAGATTCATTTCGTCACAAAAATCAACTTTGTAATTATAATAAACAATTCGTCAGGTTTTTATTCAGATATATTCACCGAGCCTAAGGTGAATAATTCTTGAACAAGTTGTGGAAGCGAGGACCTAAAAAGCTCGGCTACAAAATAAACAAAACTAAAAACCGCAGCATGAAAATATACGAAACAAAAATAAGTTTGCAAACTGACTATCTTTTGAATTTTGAAAGGAAAACGTTTTTCAAGCTTACAATATAGTTTCATGTTTACTAAAGAATAGAGTTCGATAATGTCAAATTATGAAATATGAAACGAATGGAATTATAATACAGAATTAATTTGTTGAAAATAAAATTGATTTGATTATTGTTGATTATCCTCCCCTTCGCTTTGCTCTGCGGTTAGCTGCTGTTGCCACATATTTGCATATACTCCTTGTCGATCCAAAAGCTCTTGATGTCTACGACAATTAAATTAGTCGAAATGTGATTAATTGCGTTGAACTAATTTATACGAACTTTATTTAAGAGTTAAAAAAGTTAAAAGCTTCTCAAGTATTCTTCCAACATTCTCCCGAATGCATTTTTAAGACCACAAAGGCACACTCCACTATGAGCTTTTTTAATTCTTACATTTAACATAAGAAAAAAATATTACATCAAAAATGCAATTCTCGTTATGTTATTTAAGATGTTGCTCAGCAACAAAAAGAGCTCAGTTTTATCGGCGCGACAACAACCGAATTCTAGCCCAAAATAATTTCAAAAAAAAGATTTTCTAAGATAAATTTTTTAGCAGTTACAAAGTAACTTAAAAATACACATTAAAATTGTCAAAGAAATATGCAACAATTAGTTTACTTTTTAACCAAACAATAGACGACTTGCGCTTTAGACTAATTTCTTTAGACTGCGATAAAACGAAATGTTCTGAAAGAGCTTATTAAAATAAGTGAAACTGTCAAGTTACGCTGCGAATTGTTGTGTGAATTACGGAAAATATAGCCATGCGAAGTTGACTAATTTTGTATACTTTTGTATCACGGCCGGAAGTGTGTAACTCAATTAACTTTGCTCATCCACTTCATTCGATTGCCTAGGCTACTTGGCTAAAATGTAGCTAAATTATTCATTAAATGAGATGGAAAATCGTTACAGTTGATCGTGAATATCCTCGGCTAAATATATACGGCGTTACTCAATAGACCTTTTCGGTAATTACGTCACAAAAATATTGTTTTAAATTCAGAACCACCTTAAATGAGATGGATTTCAATTTTTACTCTCACGAGCTATGTGCAAAGATACACAACATCCTTCAGGCTGTACAACCCGTGCATGAAAAAGAATTTTTCATTTTGACTAATAAGTATTAAGAGCTAAAAAAGTTAAAAACTCTCTAGTTTTTTGTGTCGGTCAAAGTTATCCGCCTGAAAAATTATGTCGGTCAAAGTTATCCGCCTCAGCTTCACTTCGCCAGATAACTTTGACCTCGGTCTGAATAATCCTTGATAATGAGCTCAGCCTCATCCAATAATTGTATACTGTTGAACGAATATTTATAACAAACATGCATTGCATGTATGATTGTGAAGGTTATATTAAATCTTTTCTAAGCCTTTTTTTAAGCATTAGAAAACAATACCGAACCGTTATTGGATAAATTTATTTTAAATTTCAATTTCAGAATGTCGCTTCATAAGACACGGTTATGCATTCTTGCAACACTTCAAAAAAATAATAGTGTATATACACTTCTAAAAGATAACCAGCTCCCATTACTATCATATTCATGTTGATAACAAAATGAAAAAATATTATTTCTTACCGCCCTCTTTCCACAATCTCACCATCCTTAAGAACTAGAATCTGGTCAGCATTTACAATCGTGGAAAGCCTATCGAAATGAAAGAGAACGAAGAAGATTTATCTAACAAAACTGTAGATCAGAATAGTTTCTATATACCTATTTATCTATAAATTTATAAAACAATCCGACTCGAAATAAAAAATTAGGAAATCCGACATCATACAAGAGTGTAAATATCCTTTTATATGCAGGTTGGAAAAGGTTTTACAACGTGATGAGATCTAGTAATTTGTCCATAACGTCGCTCTTAAAGATTCAGGAAGACTGTATAATCTATTTTACACGATATAAAAAGAGTATCAATGTTGTAGCCCAGTCAATTAAAATCGTGTCCCATGAAACAAAAGAGTAGCTTGGAGATACTAGATAGTCATGAATATTCAGTTGTTCAAGTCTTGTATTTTTTTTTGTTATTTTTCTGTGTTAACGATTACTACACTGTACCTGTGCGCAACAACTATTGTTGTCCTGTTTGAGGTCATACTGCTTAAAGACGCTTGTATGTTCCTTTCAGTTTGGGTGTCTAGTGCAGATGTGGCCTGTAAGATTTTAAAAAAATAAGGTATAAATTTCGTATCTCGGCGTTAATGTTGAGCTCAACGTTAAAACCGTAAAAGCCAGAATACTGAAAATAAGAATAAACTTGACCTCGTCGAGAAGAACTAATGGCGGGTTCTTGAGTATAGTTCTTGCGATAGCAACACGTTGCTTTTCTCCTCCACTTATTTTAAGACCTCGCTCACCTACCAACGTCTCATATTCTACAAAACGGAGATAATTGAGAATTGGACTGAATGAAAATAAATGAATTTCAAGGCCAAATGATAAAAAAAATAGTAGCGTGTATAAGACTCAAGGATTATTATACACTTAATGTATGCTCCCGAGGGAAATAGTGAGTTTTGTTTTCCCAAGAGTCTGAATGTTTTTCGAGACGAAGTCGAGGGAAACATTGAGACTCGATGGAAAACAAAACTCACTATTTCCCGAGGTAGTGTACATTAAGTGTTTTGTTATATATGAACAAAAACATACATGTTACACAACGATTTCATTAAAAAAAACACTTTACTTCGTTATGACAAGAAACGGGCAATAATTTTTCACTTGTTTCCCTGGCGGGAAACATTGTATTTAGCTATTTAGTTTCGCAAGAAGGCCTGCATGTATCTAGTTTCTCATGCAATTGCGTGTAAAAATCATGTGTGCAAAAGTTTGCATGCTATAATAATACTAAGAAAAAACGAAAAATATGCTATATAGGGAGTTTAGGCTTGTTGTTTGAAAGGAGCGGGATAATTTTTGCTTAACCATCATCTATTCTTTAATATCTCAAAGACCATGATACAGGGGACTTTTAAATATCAATATTAAAAAGAAAATCGTTTTCGTTTCGTTGTGTTATGGAGTGAAATATTTAACCAGTGAACTCAAATAAGACTGGAACGCTCACTTTGTCGGAAGTTTGAAGCCAAGATGGCGGACACTGAAGCCTTTCTTGTAGGTATGATCCAGGCCTCCACGCGGAAATTTCGTATGTAAATTGGCGGCAATATTTATTTATCCTTTGAAATTTCCGCGCCAGAGGCTGGATCATACCTACAAGAAAGGCTTCATGATCCACCATCTTGGCTTCACTAACTAATGAGGAAAAGTCAGAGAGTGAGCATTCCAGTCTTATTTGAGTTCACTGTATTTAACTCACGTTGCGTGAAGGAAAGAATGCGCACATGGATATCAGCAGCATTCGCAGCATCTTCCACCTCCTGGTCGGAGGCCTCCACCCTACCATATCGGATGTTATATCTACATTGTGACAAGAAATTCCATATTCATCTATAATGCCCCCAATATTCATCGTTCTCCAGGATGTGTGGTTCCACTGTAACAACCTTTACTTATAGGGGCTGTTTACATGTTCCTGCTTAAGCGAGATTAAACAAAACTTGAAATGCCTTAATTTGAGGCATTAAAATGAGTATATAACTTTTATGATCCTGATAGTTGTGTAGTCATTCCTATAGTAGCATGTGCTTGTTTATTTTAATACTTAAAAATCATCTTACGTTTTCGTTGAAAACTAGGAAACCAGGCTCATGCAAACGCTCTAGCTCTTAATAATAATTATAGGCAGCGCGCTAAATCTTTTGGTGGCAAAATACAGTTTAATCGCGTTTATATCGAAAACGAGTTTGGTGACTCCCAATTTCAAAATATTTATTCATATATAATTATTCATTTATATTCCAAAAGAGATTTCGTAGATGGTGTAGCTGTTCAAGGGCTTAGAAATGATAGTTAAATGCATGATTGGCGTAATCCTACATGCATCTGATGGTCAAATAACCGAAGATCGTTAACGTGGTAATTGTGATATCTATGCAGTATAGGAACCTTGCGATTCATAAGCTTTTAAGCAGGTACTGTAATAAAGAACGTTAAAATTACCGGATATTGTCATTGAATAGCACAGTATCTTGTGGGACAACTCCAATGTGCTTACGCAAAGACTTCTGAGAAACCTTAAACATACACGAAGTTTCAATAAATAAAAAAAATGAATTGAAATATTTGGCAATCTGGTGATAGCACAAATACTTTATATATCCAACAATCTATTTTAATAAGTTTATCAACTGGCAAAGGCGTTTTCATATACTTTATCTACTGTTTCCAGACGAGAATCTTGATATATAGTTGTTTAGACATATATACCTTACTGATGTCTTGATCGTCGATGCTAATTAGCCCTGAGTCAATATCGTAAAATCGAAACAGTAAACGAATAACGGTGCTCTTGCCACTTCCTGATGGACCGACCTTAAACGTAAGTTGATATGAATTGTCACATGTATTTAACTAAAATAAAATAAAGTTAACATAAAAATGATAGAAAATGAAAAATCTTTTGTACATCCATTAATTTACTTTCACAATTTTTAACAAAACCATTAAAACAGGAATAAACTGAGGATACCCTTCCTTATTATATATACGAGTTGTCTAACGAATAAAGAAAAAAGATTATCATACCAATGCTAACGTTTCACCAGGTTTAACAAGAAAAGATATTCCTTTTAAGATTTCTTTTCTAAATTCAAAACAAGCATGACAAAGAGGCATAAAGCAATGGTCGATGGATGTTATAAAGTACATCAATGATGCAAGTGAAGGATTTTACGAGCACGGTATTTTTGTTTTATATTCTCAAGCTTGGTTATCGCATCATTATTGTTTACATTCAATGCGAACAAAATGCGATATACAACAAGATTTTCATTGCATGTACATACCCATCTTCGTATGAAAAATGAACATCGTTGAACTTTATCATACCACCATCAACTATAAGCGGTGGAGCATCTGGAATATCTTGAACCTATAATTTTTCATTTTCATTTAATTTTCATAATTTTTCAAACACTGTAAACGAATTTTGTACGTTCGTTTGCGGAAACACCACGTGAATTTAGTTTTGTTTCCACAAACAGACGTAGCTACAATGCAAACATTCACACATCTCTGAGAGGTTAGGAGAATATAGCATAGAAAGCAAATGTAACCTATCAAATACCACCTCCCATTATTCACTTACCTCCTGTTTTTCTTTCATCAGATCAAAAATATTTTCCATGTCAATAAAAGACTGCTGAATAAATCTACAAAAATAAAAAATCACAGTGAGTCAATTAAGATACCCGGTTGCAAGAAAAGGACTACAACAAATAACGACGTATGTGAATTTCGACGAATTATACTATATATATATGTTTTGTGAAAACCAGCCTTAAGTGAAGAGCAAAGGCATTCTTAGATCGATACATTATTCTACATTATGCATGTACCTGTAATAAGTTCCAAAATAGTTAAGTGGCTGATACAATTGAACGATATACGTTATGAATAACACAAAATCACCGACCTAAAATAAAATGTAATTTCGTGTCACGAAAGCTATATAATTTTATGTAGCTATAACCAGAGAATATGTCAAAGTTAAAGGGTCTTAATTTCGAGTGAAAAAATAACTTGAATTATAGAAACATTGTGGGACTTTGGGAGAACTCGAAATAGCGTGAATAAAATCCCCACGCATGTCTATATAACTGTATAGAAACACGGAAAATGCTTTCTTTAATATTCAACACCATCATAGTTTCCCATGTTATCTTAGAAAGCGAATTAGGAGGGGACAATTCAACAGTCTTTACCTTAAGTGTTCCATTAATGACTAAATGGCCACAATAAATTGCCCCAGCTAACAGACCAATTGTCACGATGAAATTTTGCACCACGTTAATAAGATTAAGGCTGGCCATCGATTGCCACTCGCTATCCTAAAATATAACAGGTTTAAGAGGGATTCAGTTTCAGTCTTCTAGGTGTGTACATGTATGAGCATGGTCTGTTTTATTATTTTCTTTTTGTATAAAGCGAAGGAGGGTAGAAACAGTTGAAGCATGATGCATTCACTACATGCTTCGACACAAATCTAAAAATATGTTGTCATGTTTCAATGGTAAAATTATAATCAGGATATATTTTGGGGATGATATACCGAACGAAAAACATACTTGGTAATCTTCAATTGCTTCATTATATCGTCCAACTTCATAATCCTCAGCATTATAATATTTTACCTAAAAGATGAGGAAGCACTGCAGTAGAATTTAGAAAGAAATGCAGACATGTACGGGGGGAAAGGAAAGTACTACCATACATAATTTCCAAATGTTAATACATAATTTCCAAATGTTGGTATATTAAATTTTCGACCCCAACACTCTTTTCAAACTCTACCAATATCAAGTCGAATAATGCTAGTAGTGAAAAATATGCAGGAAACAATCTGCGTGTCCAACCCAGTAGCCACGCATAAAATGCATATATTCCCATACGGTATAAATTTATACTATTACGTTTACCAGTCTAAAGTATTTCGTAATGATTAATTAAATTATGCTGGCACAATGGTCGCATTCTATATGTAGCAAATGAAAATCAGTACCGTTTCAAAATTCAACAATGAATCAACTGCTTTTGCTTTTGTTTTGTTGTCCTTGGCATTCATTTCACGTCTGTATTTGGTACGCCATTCAGTGATAACAATTGTCAGTACTAAAAGGTAATGGGAATTAAATCAAATCATTAGACCCCAAATCAACAAAAAACTATGTTTAACTTTATGTAAACTTCAGGCCTGCCATATGGTCCTCACATGCCCTCTTTGTCTGAGGTCACTAGTGCGCAAACTGGAAAATGATACAATAGACCGTCGATTCTTAGGACCTAGCGAAGATAATAATGCAGGGCCTGTATTATTATTGTAGCGAATTCTACTTTTAGTTGCTCATGTGAAGGAATGAAAAATCTGGCGTTCTAGGAATAAATTCAGCAAGGAGAAGCAATGTTATAAAATTTACAAAAATATATCAAGGCTACTCCCAAATGACTGACTGACTGACTCGTTTGAATTTTTGCCACGCATCACAGTACTGCAAAGTTTCAAAGAAACCTTGCACTAAAACATACCTATGTAGAGACCCATGGTTATAAAAACAATTAGTCCAAAATATCCATTGAATGCGAGAATGAAATAAATTATGGCAATGATGATGTCAATGATAACAGGAAAGATATTGAAGAGCAAATAACTATAAAATAAACAATATAATTTACATATAAAAAACTATATTGATCTTTTATCCACGAGTGCTGGCTATTATTGTAAGATAATCTTACAAAGATTACATACAGACGATCAGTTAAAGTAAATGTAATCTTGGACCAGTTTTTCGAAAGCCAGTTAAAGCAAATATTTACATTTATTTTTTTAATTGCTTGTTTATAAGTTGAATGTCTTTTTCCATAAATATTTTCTGGACCAACAAAATCCATATTTTGTAAAGTTTCAAAACGAACAGCGGTTAACTGGTTAATTAAGCAATTAACCAAAACAGCTGATTAAAATTTAACCTTAGGGTCAGCGCTAACCCAGCTTTGAACAACTGGCCCCTGCATATTTTTGGTCATCCATTGCATGACGTGAAAACATGGTTCAGTTCAAACATTTTCCCCGTAAGAGGAAGCGACGATCGAATTACGAATTCGCTGTGCAGTGTCAAAATCTATGTAGTTTTACCTTAACAAAATATTAGTACTGGTATTGCCGCGGTCTATCATTCGCAATACTTCTCCTGTCTTTCTACCCAAATGCCAACGCAACGACAAACTTGAAGAAAAAGCAAACGGAATAATGTAAAGAGAAGACGTAAATGGCACTGCATGTTGAATAATTAACGTTCGTTAATATTAATATTTTATATATTATTAATCAATATATATTAAGGGGATAATAATAATATTAATACATATATATCAAGGGGATAATCGTTTGATGATATGATATTCGGAGTTTGGATCCAAAACTATACTAAAGTGTTTCTATTTCTTTTTAGGAAAATATTTTATACAAATTTTTCTTATAAATTATAAATTCTCACAAAATTATTCACAACTAACGATAAACAATGTTGTGTTTTTTTTTTGTGAGTCCAATAGAGAGTCTATAGTTGTCCATTATTTTAACTCAGGAACAGCTTTTTGTTCGGGGTTTTTCATGCTCGTGTATTTAACATTTTTATTGTGAAGTACAGCTCGATTATTATTTTGTTTATGTTTTTAAATATAAAGTCTCGGGGCAGAAAAAATTTCCGTGTTTCTCGACCAATCAGCACACGCGTACTTTACATATTATATTATACATATAAACAAAGTCTTGGTCGACGTAAATGTTGAGTACCATACGTTAGGACACAAAACAAGTTATGTTTAAAGTAGCACATATTAATCTCACCTGTGTAGATGAGCAAACAGTCGCACTTGAACGGCACGACTAGTGTATTGTTGTATTTTGATCCATAGAAACGACCGCATATTACTCAGCATTCCCAGTGCACCTGGAATTTAATAAACAATGAAGAATAAACAAAAAATACAAACTTCGAATGCTATATAACCTGCTATTTGTAAGGTTGTATTAATAACCTATTAAAATGATTAGAACCAGAGGCGAAACTAGAACGATAATTGAGATGGATGGGTGAATATTGATATATTCTGTTTTGCCTGACGGAGTTCTTTTGTACGCGTACATATTTTGAAAAGAGGTTCGTCGGAAAGAACAGAATATATGAATACTCATACACCCCCCCCCCCACACACACACTCACAAATATCGCCTTAAACTTAAAGCCTCTGATTAGAACGTAGAAGCACAATTACCTGTTCCTCCCCCTTGCAGAAACCGCAGGACAACATAAAGAATAATCAAATGCAATGGATTTGTTTTTCCTTCAAGGCCATCTTTGCCGGGGGTTAGGTAATTGACTATATATAATATAAAGAGAACAAGTGAGAACCGTCAAAATACATGGTATGGCTAACAATACACTGACCCAATGTACACAGGTTTAGACTTTTAAACGTTTAGACCAAAATAACCACCAGAAAGTATTGGGGACAATTACTAAAGCTGACAAAAATATTTCATACGTTTTAATTATTTCAATTGGCTTTTCTAAAACATTTAACATGCATAGAATTTTGTACACGGTATGCAGAAAATAAATTCAAACACGTCTTAAAAATGAATATGCGTCTTCTTCACAACAGGGAAAATTCAACTTATTCAAGTTCTTTTTTAGCAGATAGGCTGCGAGTTCCGTTGCAGCAAGCAGCTTGACGTACTTTATTTGAACCTGTAACATCAGGGATGCCACAGGGGTCGATTCTCGGCCCAATGTTGTTTGTACTGTATATATACATTCAAGGTATATAGCTACTGAGACAAAGCATGCATGAGTACCATAGAAATAATAGACATTATGTCTATTATTAATAGAAATAATGTCAATTATTTTTTTTCTTGCGGTCCGAATTCATATTTTAGCGATTCCTGCAAACATCAGGGATGCCACAGGGGTCGATTCTCGGCCCAATGTTGTTTGTACTGTATATATACATTCAAGGTATATAGCTACTGAGACAAAGCATGCATGAGCACCATAGAAATAATAGACTTGATGTCTATTATTAATAGAAATAATGTCTATTATTTTTTTTTCTTGCGGTCCGAATTCATATTTTAGCGATTCCTACAATCTGATTGGGTACGCGAGCGGTCCGTATGAGGCCGTACGGACCGCGCAGGGTTTTAAAGCACAGAGCTAACGCTAAAATATTAATTCGGACCGCAAAAAAATAAATCAATTATTTACCAGTTTAGTCGGTCCGTATACGGAAATATTTCCCTCGGTCTCAAAAACATCCCTCGGCCTTCGGTTCGGTCTCAAAAACGTCCCTGGGAAATATTTCCCTATACGGACATCTTATCTGGTAAATAACATATATTTATTTCTATGCTAAGTACTTATCTAGATAATCTTACCTATATCACGATACACCAAAGGAATAAACAAATTAACTGCACGACCTCCCGCGAGAAGAAGAAAACAAACAACAACACGTAGTTGCAACGTTCTAGAGTAAAGAGAATATATAAAATGGTACAGTAAGTTATACGTGTGGATTTGTTCATTGCTTTGACTGTAATTATTAATGAAAGCAGTGGGCAGTCAGAATTATATATTTTACAAATAGTTAAGCAGCTGTTCACATAACACAGTTAATTAAGCAATGCATAGGTACTGCAATGCAATGCAATGTACTGTGCAGTTCGTGGAACTATATTAGGTGTACAGCTAAAAATTTAATATTTATTATTCGATTTAACTGATCTCAACCAAGACGAATTCTGGACATGTATATGGTGAAATAATTTGCATGAAACAGCATACCGACGGTTTGGCCAGAGAAAAGGCCATAAAATCTTCAGCTTTCTCATGACTCCCTTAAACGTTGATACTTGTCTACCGTCAGCTGCCTGAAAAAACAACAAAATCGTTTTCTCGCTGTTGCGCAATATATACAATTGCCAAGGATCGAGGGTCTTAATTTCAAGATTTGGAAATCATACTACATATCAATCCCAAGGCTACAGGAATGGAACCTACACCTTTGCGACGCCGGTGCAATGTTTTTGTTACTGCTCGCTCTTAATTGCTGATCCAAAAATTACTGTTAATATTCCCAAAAGTTGCTCCCAGTTGCAGGCCGTAGCTAGACGGATTTTAAACTTAAAATGGGATCCGATTCGAAAGGATCCACGCCCTGTATAGATATTATAAGATAAATAAAGAGCAGGGTGAGTGATGACTGACCCTTGTGGTACTCCTGGTATCCCAACATTATCAATTTAGCTACTAGATATATTTTAGAAATTAGATGGGAAATTCTTTATTTTATGCAATCTATACGATGAAGAAAAAGAAGAAAAAATTAGGTCACCACGTACCGATGGCGTTCCGAGGGTGTCGTCATCCTCGACCGAGACCTCATAGCTTGATTTGTACAAACCAGGAGCTTTCATTCCGAGAAATAGTATCAAAGCTGAAAACGAATACCTCAGCCAAAATAGAACAAATTCGGCTTCCTCGACCGATGTTTTTCGATGGAACCACCATTCATTGTTGTTCCATGAGATTAAGACAAGGTTATTTTTAACGAACGTTAGACCCCAAAATAAGATTAAAGGCGTTGAGTACTTTGATAACTTGGCTATATAACGATCCTGCGTTTCAATCATTGTGTCGAAGTAAGCAAAAAACCACACAAGGAACATTAGCAAATCGCCGACCAAGGTTACCCCTTGTATACGAGAAGACTCCATTGAGGCTGAAAAAGAAAAAAAATAGGCTACTAATGCCGAGAAAGTCGATAGACTGGTCAAAGTCTGTTTCGTAGTTTTATGAATTACATAACAGAACGTGTGTCATTATTTGTTAGTATACGTTACTACATTTTACTGTAATTACTTGATAAATACTTGGTTACTTTTTACAGCAAAATATGTCAGTCGTTGCCAAAGGTTGTCATATCAAAATATACATTAATACCCATTTTTTTTAGTTAAGATACTTACTGTAAGGTCTGTTCACACCATCTAATTCATGCACTTCTGCATGACTTATGGATTGCGACTGGTTGTTAATATAGCAGTACTACATTGACTTTAGTTGATTTGTTAAAACGTCTATCAGATGTGAATTCGATCGAACAAAATTAGCCTTTCTCACGATGACGAATATGCCGCCATTTTTGGGGTACTTTTTTCAAAAACCGTGAGCGTAAAACTTGGTAACGGCGACTGTCTTTAATTTTAGGCTGAATTTATTCTTCAAATGGTCTGTTTATTCTAAAAAAATGCTTTTGATGTTTAAACATAATTTTTAAACCCATTTCAAAAAAGTAAAAGTACCCCAAAACGTCATCGTGAGAAAGGCTAATTGGAACGTGTGATCGTCTTAATTTTAATGTTTTATGGTTTAACTACTTAATCAAAACCTATACCAGACCTTACCTTTCACGACAATATCCAGCAGGGGTAGAATAATTTGGCATATGTGGAAAAACAATTGGCAGGTATACAAAAAGGAAGTGCGATAGTTCTCTCCATAGATGAAGCTAGCCGGATTGTCCAAAAATGAAGAAGAAACAGGCGTTTCCTTATTTAACAAAAGATCATTGGCTGTTGCGCCGATTGATTGATCAAACTCATCTTGGATGGAGGCATAGCGTTGTTTTGCCATTCTTCTCTTGTACGCAAGCCTCACAAGTTGAGGTATACATGCCAGTATGATCAGAAGTAAAAAGACCAGAGGAGAAACGGTTTCAAAGAGACATCTT